TTTTTCTTTAGTCCTATTAGGGTTTCAAAGTAAGAGTTAACCCTAATTTTTTATTAGTCTATAGATAGTTATAGTCACTTTAATAATTTTTATTTAATTAAATAATGCACCAAATAATATAGACTAATAACATAGCAAAAAGTAGACTAATTTACTTACCTCTCAAAATTTTCCAGCATGAAGCATATTGGAAATGATGTATTGAGAGGAGATTGAACCTATCTCGATCAGAAGTGCCAACCATAATTCATTTTTTGTTCTAGCTCTTTGGCAGAGGTTTTTTTACATCCTCCACATTCGCCCTGTTTAATGTGGTCTTGTTGACTACCATTCGATTATTGCAACTACATATTTTTTTAGTCCCCAGTACTCTCCAAATTCCTCAAGTTACTGTGGGTCGTTGGTCCCAAATTACAGTTACAGGTATATTTAGGTTACATTACATGCTCTTTCTCAACACCTGTTTGTGGCCTGACTCTTATATGCCATGTATCCCCTTTACCTGAAGGTTTATTTTTCATGGCTGCTGACCTACAGACATCACTGGTCAGAATGATTTGCGCTATTTGTCCACAGATCACTTTCTTATTCTCTCAGATCATTTCTTCTTACTCAAAACACTGTCCAACAGAAAAGGGGTTAAATCCTTTTCACTGATTCATCTGATCACTATTCAAATTCGATGATCAGACTAATAGAGACTAATAATGGTTGGAAATGGCTTGAATGGGTAATGAAGAAAACCTTGTTGAAACGTTGTACATTTGCTGTTATGTTAAACTTATATTAAAGTTTTTCTTCATTACCCATTCAAGCCATCTCCAACCATTATCTGATCACTATGTCTCACTCCTATGTCTTATCAGATTTCAATTGTGGTCATGTTCAGTGCAGGTCTTGAAGATTTGATTGTCTGCACTAATGCCTTTAGAGATGCTAGACAACAACTTTTTATTCTGGGCTCTCTTTGAAGGAGAGGAATCTTATGCGAGTCACGTCTGTTCAGATTTTTCACATTTTTATGTCCTTATTATCAGCCTGGTTGAATTGCCTGTTGGAGGTCATTGTGTAGACTGGTATGTGGACTTCCCCCAATACTTTTATCTTGCATGAGCTGGCAGTTTCTTAAACTGAGGGTTTTTGCCTACCCCTTTTAGCTATCTTAATCATTTCTACTAGATTATACAGAGGGGTGAGTATTTTCATTGCTACCTTTCAAGGTCCCTTACCTTATTTTCACAGAATCCCACTTTGTGGTGAGTGTTGCTCAGGCAGGTATGCTTTTATCAAACCAATTCTGCACTACAGGCTCTGTAGAAATGAGGTGTTCCATAATACCACCTAGGAGCTGACCAGGTGGTATTACTGTACTATGCTGGACCACCACTCATGGACTATTATGAGTAAAGCATAAGTGGATACTGCTCATCCATGCCAATGATAGGATTTGAATAAATCGGGGTTGGTTTGCTTTTTTTTTACCTATTGCACTAGAGTACTGTCCCTCAGGACTCACCAATGCATATTACCAGATTCTACTAGAGGAGCTAGGGAATCCTTACCTCACCCAGTTTCCAGTTGCTGGTGTGCTAGACAGAGGATTTTCCTCCAGAGTGTTAGAGTGAATTCCTCCACTCTTGGAGAAGAGGGTAAAGTTGGGGGCCCTCCTACCCAGGTGTCTGGATGTTTTTCCCAGATGTTGGTAGGAGTGGCACCAGCTTATGCGGGAGCCTTCTTGCAATACCGGATCAGATTTGATGCTTCCCTATCCGGTTGGAGTGTGCATGGTCCTTCTGTTTGATCAATATAGATTCAGTACATTGTTCATGGAAAAGGGCTACTATCTCCTTGGAATTTGAATGTGGAGTGGTCCCATCCTGGGTCGTTGGTTGAGTGCAGTTGTTCCACGTCCTCCCCATAATTCCAAGGACAAGTAGAATGTACCTTCCCATAAGGTTGGGTAGTAAGGATGAATGTTCATAATTCCAGACTGGATGAGTTCTGTTTCCTTTGGTTAAGTATAACATACACAATCCTGTCATTCCGAGATTGGGGTGTTGTCTTTCAGGCTTCTTCAGGTGGAGGAGAAAGTTCGTTCACTTCAGTATTACTTACTTTCTCGTCGTGATTCCAGTGGCTTGAAATGCATCACTCTATGGCTGCAGGTTGGGATCCACTCATAAGTATATATAAATATAACGTTGCAGTCCAATTGCCCTAGCCATCAACGTGGCTATTTCAAACCTAATAGCTATAAGTGTGAAAGGAGGTAAGTAATATTGGAAATACATTTGCAATTTAGGAAAACATTAACTTGTTAATAGAATAATGTTTCAACTACAAAGATATAAAATATGGTTCAAAAACTTTTTCTGGAGAAACATATTTATTTCATGTAATGTTTGGATTTTTTCTTCTTCTAGGATAATAAAAACCAAGAAGCACGTGTGAATCATCTCTTTTCTTTAGATGGGTCACGGCCTTCCTTTTCTTTGTTAGGACGAGCTGTTCTTATGGGACATATTTCAATAGTTAGAACAACTTTTTGTTATTAGTTTTTGTTTTCTTTTGTGAAAAAAATACATTTATTTATTTACCATAAATATTTGTAACAGCAAATGACTAGTTGTTAAACATTTGCAGATGCCTTGGTACTTATGCTTATTCAACAATGCAATTTTAAGTGTGTTCAAACCACAATCCAAATGAACTTAAATATTGTTTTAGAGAGAACTATTAGAAGTAACAGCATGCATGTTTTGAAGTTAGTTAATGTTACAATAACTCATCAGTTTCATGTTGGAAAATAGGGAATGCTAAACAAGTACTAACAGAATGTGATTTTTGCTACTAAAGCAAATATTTTCTGTGATGTTAGTGGTGCTGAGGATGAAGAGCAATTAAAGGTTTGTGAGAGTGGTAATTGTAAGTCAGATACCAGCTTTCAAGTAATAAAACTTGTTTTGTTTTTGAGCTTTTCTTCAAATTCTGAATTTTTTTTTTACTTATTAACTACTTTAGCTTATTTATAAGTTTAAGAATGTTTTAACTTAATTTATATAAGCAATTAGCCAAAATTATACTGCCTTTTACATTTATTTTAAATTGCCTTTTAAGTTTTTAATTATTTCTGTGACTGAATAAAAAAAATCAATTTTTAATGCAGTATGCTAAAAACCTCATGAATTTAAATCCTATGCAATTACTTTAAATCAATGCTTTAGATACCACTTTCTACTTAAACATTGTGTGAAATTTTACAGGTTAAGAGATTTTAGAATATATGTAGAAAATTTGATGACACTTAAAATGTATTTAGTGTACCTTTTTCTGTGTAATAATATTTCATGTGATGGAAGAAGTTGGTAATAATGTTTTTTAACTTTGTTATTTCAACATTTATATTCATACATAAATTTAAAAAATATATCTTTCATAGGGTCAGACTATTTTTGGGATCTTTCTGACCTTATCTGTTGTTCCACTTTGTATGCTGAAGTTTCTTCAAATTTGGAAGAAAGGTTTGGCATTTTTTTTCTTCATTTGCAAAATGGTTAGTTTTGTTCCATAAAATCAGAATTTTTTTTTATACTCCTCTAACATTTCTAAGTGAAACTCTTACTTGAAATGTAAGAGCAAGAGGACAGTATATAAAGCCTGGGTAAATCAAGTCAAAATTTTAAAAGTAGAATTTACAAAAGGAATAAAAGAATATCCCTTAAAAAAAAAATTATAAAATCCAAAAATATGACAGATAAAATGAAGTTTTTAAACAGATTAATAATTTTATCACTACAATGGGACCAGGCATGGGTTATAGTAATTAGTGTGAACTTAAACTATGAATCCGAAAGTTATATTTTTTGTCCTTTTTCCACAAAAACATGCACCATACTTTTGGGCCATGGATGTTACAGTAGAGTGACAGATAAATTTCATTATTCAGTCAAATAAGAGTAGCCCAAGGGTTAGGGATAGGTACCATTGACTGTTCACCTTCCATCTTACTAGTCACTTCAAAATTAGTGATTGATTTGTGCAGGTAGCCCTTGTGTATCTTTTGATGAAAATTCTGAACAAACATTATTAAAACAAAAATTAAAATGCATCACCTAAAAATAAAATCAGTTCCTTCTAATTTAGAAATAACAACATGAAGATTTTGAAGTCAGTTGCTGTTCCAATGATCAGTTACTTTGGGATTCTATTTTATACATCCAGAAACAGAATATACATGTTTAAACAATTAAATGAAACTACATTAGAATAAGAATTTTTGTAAAAAATATAAACTGTATGTTTGAGAAGTTCAGTCAGTATTAAAAATAATAGAATATTTTGTCCAGTTTCTTACAGACTATTGTGTTGCTTGCAGAGATTGAAATAACTGTTGGTCAATCAAAATACAAAAACATTACACAAGTTTTATTGGTTTGAGGGATTGTAGAGAAAAAATAAACCTGATGCTACCAGAATTGAGCTTAGAAATACAATATATGAAGTTTAATAAAAGTGAATCCTCAATAAATTCTGCAGAAATCTCTTCAACATGCATTCATTGCAATCTGTGTGAGAATGTTTGGCTACTAGTTAAATTTTGATATTGGTTTAATTTCTCTTGGTAATTCTTGGCTTCATCAAAGATAATTATATAATTAAAAATTGCTCTTTAAGTTATAGGTGTTTCATAATACATTCCATAGCTTGTATTTTAAGATAATTTAATGTGATGCTGGAACCTGGTTCTTAACATACTGAGAATGCCAAATAGGTGTAAGAAGATGAAAAAAAAAATTTGTTTTTTCTAATAAATATATCTTTCCAATATTCTTTATTAAACATGTGGTTTTGTTGACTTCAGGTAGCATTGGTAAGAAGCTCTTAAAAGACAACTGCTGTAAAAGATTTGTGTTCAAGCTGTATTTACTGGTTTATGTGGATCAGCTGTTTTGGCCACTGATAACCATGGGTATTTATAGTGGAGTTGGTGAGTTATCATCCCATACATTATGTATAAACTGTAAAATTGGAAAAAATATAACAAATAACAGCTTAAGTATTTAATACATAATTGTGTTAAATGGAATATTTTACTCCAAAATACCATGTAATGTTGTAATCTCTTTATTCATATTTCTACCACAGTGACCTTTTTTAATTTATTTTTTGTCTCTTAACACTGTTAAAGAAATTTGTAACTTCTCTCTCTCTTTTTTTTGTAACAACAAAAATATTGATATCCTGATACAATTACTCACCTCCACACCCAGAAAAATATTTTCCTCTTGAAATTGTGGTAATCTGCCTGAGAGACCTGCATGCTACCAACCTTGTGAAAACTCCCACCTAAAATTCACATGAAATTGTACTACTGAATGATGGCATATCATGCAACATAACCTTCCATCAATAGGAGTAGGACACACCTCCTTGCACAAATACTTTCTCTACATTTGTATGCAAAATATGTCATCTTTTCCTTGGCATAGCTGTGTTTAGACATGTCTTTTTTTTGCTGAGAATTGTTTAAATAGGTACTTCAACAAATTTACTTTGTATTTTCAACCTTTTAATAAGAATTGACATATTAACGTGAATCCCTTATTCTGCTGAAGTGAGTACAAGCATCACTCACAGTTATCAACATATAGGAAGTTTTTGCCTGTTGAGATCGTGACAGCCATTGGTATTGGAAATGCTGCTGTTCATGTTGAAAATACAGTAAAAAGAAGAGTAACATCACGTCGTCAACTGTGTGGTGGGGTCCATGTTATGCCTCAATCTTCTACCATCCCTGCCACACATTTCCCTTCACAGGTATTGAAGCTGAAGTTGAGGGGGATGAAATGAAGCAACTTTTCACCCAATACTTCTCTACTTACAGCATATTTTGACTTTCCTGCTTTACTTAAGCCTTCTACTCATTGTTTCCTTTCTTCTCTCCTGTTAATGCTACATCCGGCATTTACTTTGGGTTTCAATTCACTCCCTCTGTTTTATGCCTCGTCCTTGCCTTACCAGATAACACATAGGTTTTACTGTTTAGATCTAGTTTATTCTTCATTAACATGTAAATCATAGGACTCAATGTTTAGACTTTGTCTATTACTCCTTAATATGTCCATATATGATATTTTGTTTAGAACTAGTTTGTTACACATTAACTTGTATTATTTAGACTATAACATTTAATCATAGTTACTTATTCCCTAACATTTACCATTTAATCTACAGTAGTCCCTGGTGGATACGACTCCTCCCAATAAAGACTTCCTTATAAATACGACTTTTTTTTACTGTGCATGGAACTATTTTACATTGATCTGACCTCCCACAAATGAATTCCTGACAGAAGTGACATATGACTGTGATTTTTGGGTGGAAGGTAGATTAACGACTTTTCTTAATATCAATAATGTAATTTACAGAGACACATGAATATAGTGTCCACAGTATGGAACAAAGAAGTTACATGACCGGAAATTGCTTCACAGCTTAGTATATGTATCTTGGTACCCCGAGGTGTTTAAGATAAACACCTTGGTACATATACGTAGGTATTTTGGTTTAAAAACTTTCAGGTCCTGAAAAGTAACCAGGGGCAGTCAGAAACTGTTGTTTGCCTTCACCCTGCTTGCACAATTAAGGTTTATTCTTTTAGTGAATGTAGTAGATTTTGAGCTAGTGGCCTAGACATTAAATAACTTGATTAGTATTTACTAGTAGGGTGTGAAGGTTATCAACTCATGGTTTGTTGAATGACAGACTGTGCAGTAAGCATAGCTAATGAAATGCTCAAGGCATTCAGGAAAGCTGCAAATGTCTCAAGCTGAGAACAGGAACTTGCTGTGAAGAAGAAGACTCGAAGTGTTGATATAGAAATGTGGCGTGGATATTGATATATACCAAAGTTCTGATGAAAGCAACAAAATAAATTAAATGTGGAAATCAGAGAATGTTTAGTCAACATGGAATTGTTTTAATGCAATATATTACATTTTATGTAGTATTTGTATTCAGAGAGGATTACCTTATTAGGTATTGGCTAGAGTCTAGCAATAATTTAGTTCAGATATTTATTCTTACTTCCTTACTGGTTCTTTTAAAATTGTGGAATGGTCCCTTTTCAGAGTTAGAATCAAAGGATCCAAGTTTCAGTGTGAAAGTTTGGTTTAGGGTGGAACTATTTTGTTCAATTAAAATAAGTAGTGTCTGATGTTTTGTGTTTTGTTTACAATTAGGGCATTTTGTACAGATATACTGTGCATTTTTTGAGTTGCAATGGTGGTAAATACAAGTATTGGATGTTTTTTTTAATTATGTTTGGTAAATCTGGTTTCCAATTTTCTACCAGTTTCTCTGATGTAGAATTCTGGACATTTATTGCATGTTATTTCATAAATTGATACTAAAATCTTGTACTGAAAACTATCAGTGAAATACTTCTTGATGTATTAACTGCCAGACTTGTGAACATTCATAACTCAACTATATTTTTTCTTATTTATTTGAAACTTACAGAGTATGTACATGAAGATACCTAATGTGGTATCTTGTAAAACATTTTCATATGTGGAGTGGAACTGCACAAAACTTGCATATGTATAGCGTTTCATGGGCAGTACAAACTTTGCAGGCTCTGGTAAGAAATTTAAATTTTTCCTGTGGATGAAATTAACACAGGAATATGCTGCTTCGTGTCATCAGACAGTTTTCCTGGGGGATCCTAATGTGGGGCTCTCCTTGTACCTTCAGATGATGGACCGGGTACATTCCTCTCTTGTTGCAGTGAGCCTTCTTTCTCTTTATCAGTAATCCATTTTCTTGCCACAGAAAGGAGGAACTGCTTATATGTTATTTTTTTCTGTTGATTAAGGGCTTTGTAGACTATATATGAATTGAAAAGGCTGCAATTTATTAGATATAGTACTATCTTTTTTGTCCATTTCACTGTTTTTCTGAGAATGGTGTAGTATGAGAGCATTGTATTGGAGAACACACACAGATTTTTTATTTATTCTCCATAGAAACAGATGAGTCATGGATGGTTGAAACCATTTTCACTTCTCTCTTATCTTTCCATATGAAAACAAGAACATCACCTTTTCTACCAAAAGCTGTTTCACCATTTTTTCGTTGTTGAAACTTCAGGCTTGGCAGCAACCCTCTATTCACTCTGATTGTTCCATAAACTCTTGTTTTTATGTTCTAGGAACAGATTTGCAATGGAAGTACTGTTGTAATAATTGTCCTGGTATACGTGGTGCCACAATCCAAGATTTGGAGAAAGAACTGAAAGAATAGTCTTTTCCAATTTTTTTCCTCTCACAGTATAAATCTCCATGTTGCAAATATAAACTGTGTCACTCTCACACACCATTCTTACCAGCAGGCCATATTTTACAATTTTTGCAGGGTTGTATGTTAGGAATCTTGGACGTTCTCTACATGGAATCATGCCCTCATCCAAAGACAGCTGTTGCTTTGGTTTGTATAGTGTCCTGAATTTATTTAGGAAATAGTCCAGTACTGATTGAATAATAAAGAGCCTGCTTGAAGACTCAACCATTTTCTGATTATCATTGAAATGCCAAAATGTCCAAATTTGTTCAAATCTGTTTCAGCTCATTATCCGCGAAAATGTTGGGCTAATCAAAAGAGTATCTGTTGACCAATAATCTTTCTAGATATATTTCCCTGTCTGTCCCATTAGTAGAATAAGGCCTAGGAATTTCATAATGTCTGTAAGTGTAACTTCAGACCATTGAAGTTCTTTAGATGACATTTTATGTTTCTCTGCAATTTGATTAAGGTAGGTACACATTTCTTGACAAAACATTTCAAACAAGTCATCACCAAACATTATACTTGTCACGGCAACAATACTTTCAGGTTCAGATAGAGTTATAGTGACCCCTGGATTTCCAAGTTTGGTGGAATATCTATTTCTGACCAATTATCATTATCACAATGGGAAAACAAATCACTAACAGGAACATTTGTTGAATCATCATCACTTTCTGATTCAGAATCAGTTGAGAGCACAACATCTTTATGTATCTTTGTAGGTCTAACAACATCACTGTAGCTAGAGTCACTGTCAAAATGATCCACCAACACATCCACATCAGAATCTTCACCCTAACTTGGAAGATCTGTCAAGTTATCATCAAATAGTTCAGTAATTATCTCATCTTCACTCAACACGTTACGTTTTCTGCGAGAAGCCATTTATAAAAATATGGGTATTGTAAGCAAAAATCAGAAAAATAATAACCAGCAAAACGTGTCCAACTCCTTTCGAACACAACATTTTAATAAATGGCACATAAAGATGCTCTGCACGAAACATGAGTAAACTGGTGAACCATCCGCAACGTGTTAAGGTTTGGTTCTAGTTCTTACTCCATAAAATGTCCACAGAAAATATATTATTTTAACATTGTTCATTATTCCTTAACATATAACTCATTGGAGTTAATGTTTTGCCATAGCTCATTACTCCTTTACTTGTACTCATATGAGATAATGTTTAGACATAACTAATTTCTCCTTACCATGTCCCACTTAGAATATCGTGTTTGGTCATGGTTAATCGATTCTATCTATACACACACCAGTTTAGAAATAGTTGCTTATTCATAACATGTATACTTAGATGTTATTGTCTATTTCTAGTTCATTTTTTCTTCACATATAACACACTGAATATGTTGTTTAGTCATAGTTCCTTACTCCTTATGTCACTTCGAAGGTAATGTTTCTTCTTTGTTCATTACTCCTTATTGTGTCAATTTCATAGGTACTGTTTAGTCTTAGTTAATTATTCTATAAGATGTACACATTGTGGGAAATTCTTTGATCTAGTTCCTTTTTAGCATGCATACTTAGACATTCATGTTTGGTTCTCTTTCATGTACACATGAGAGTTAATTTTTGATTTCATTTATTCTTCCTTAATTTGCAATATTTTCACAATGATGTATT